TGATGCTTCCTTCTCGGTGACTGTGCACACGTGGTGATGCCATCATGTCAGCATAGTTTCTCACACATGCAAGCATTAACTGGTCTTTATTTTGGTGTTTGTGTCCTAATCCCTTGCCTTAGTGATTTTTGTATTCTGGTAAAGTCCTCAGGGTTATAAAGAGGCTTGACAAATTCTCCTAGGAGTCATTATTGCCAGTACTTTCTCCAGCCCATTGCCCTAAATGGCTTTCTGGTGGTCTAAAGGAGTTACTGTCCTTCCCACTTCATAATTTAATTCTACAGAGTAAATAAGTCACAAAACAAAGTCTGTTATCATATCAATCCATTTATCAGAGTTTTGAAAGCATTAAAGTAATTTATCGCAAAATCATGTCACATGAATAAAAAGCTTTCTGTAAGCTCTTGGTTTCATTTTATACTTGATTTTTCTCCTTTCTCTGCAGCTATATGACTGGGCTGGAAATAAATTTGCCTCTTGGGGCTTTTTACCTTACAGACAGCTTTTGATAGTTGAGTTTTTCTACGAGCCTCAAGTTCGGTAAGGAAGATCACACGCAGTTATGGCCAGAGATTCTGTCGGCATTATGCTGAGTAGCAAAATGTGTCCTTACTTTATGTATATCCAGTTTCTCAGATACGTGATCATGTGGTCAACTTAGAAGGACTAATGTGACCATCTTAAGAGTGTTCAAACCACATTCTAGTTTTTAACATCAAATCACCCTGTAGTTAGCATATGTCTGACTCGAAAGTAAGATTCTTCTTTCTAAAATTGTTCCTTAATAATTATTACTACTAACTATTATTATTTAAGGGAATCTCCTTAAATATCTTGTATTATGATGAACTTCGAATTTACTGTATATTGAATTATATAGTAATTAAAGCAAATTTCTGCGTGTTAATGCAAGTGGATACTTGTGATTAGGAGTTGACTTATATTTGGATATATATGGTACTTCCATTATTTTTCTTTCCAGAATATTTCATATCTAAGAAATGGGAATAAATTAGTAGTTAGGATTCTGTGATTACAAAGACCAGGAGCCACTCAAGCGTCACTGGCTTCAGCAGCAAGCAGGATGCCTTCATGACTTCCCAGGGCAGGAAGGACCACGCCTCTCACAGGGACCAGAACAAGGAGCTGAACACCATCAGGAACCCCGGCAGCATGCTCTCTGTTTCCTGTTTTCACTGTGCTGTTCTGCTTGGATCTTCTCTTTCTGCACATCAACTGTTTCACGTTTTCTTGCCTCTGGAAGGAGGACGACCCCTCCACAGTTCACGAGAATACATTCTCCATTCGACAGGCTCGCCCAGGTGTGCAACTGTCTCTCAGTCCCATTCCAAACTCTAACAAGCAGCATCTAATGGGCTCATTTTATCCCAAATATCTAAGGGTACAGAATACAAACATGGTTGCCAGAAACCTGCTTCAGGAAAGTATGAAAGTTTTCTGATAAGTTGGTCATTATGAGTTGAAGGATACAAATAACCTACTTTCTGAACAATTTTTTAGAAACATAGTGACTTGTATTGGGTCAAGTACACCTTTAGCTACAGTGTGTGCTAAAGCAGAGGAAGGAGTCACGTGTGTTCATTCTGCTGCCCTGCATCACTGCTCCCACTTCTTTTGGTTCCACTTCACTTTTTATTAGGTTATAACTCTTCCCAGTTTCCTCACGTCCTGGCAATACTGTAAACTCATGCCTCCTCCCTGCGCCACAGTATCTGCAAAGCACATGGCACCTATGCTAAGCGTGTCCTGAGAGTAACTGGTTTAGGGGTAAGCATGTAATCACGTCCATCAGATTTCCCCTGAAAATTGATATATGACATCACGGGGAGGGGTGATTTCCTTTGGATCGTACGCCATGAGGCGTATTCATCGTTCCTGCCCTGAGCCACAGGAATATTGTTGCAAATAAAGCCCACAGCCTTAAGGAAGAAGCTCCCCAGGGTCCTGCCGCACCGGAAGTGTACTTTCCAGTTATGAAAGCCAATCAAATTCCTTTGTTGTTGTTGTTCCTAGGCTTACGGTAATTTGGGTTGGGACTCCAGCATTTGCAGCTGAAAGAGTTTAATTAACGCAGTCATATTATGTGTCTCAGAATTGACTATAAGATATTAATGAGAAATACAAGTCCACAATCCTTTATCCAAACCCTTTGGGAGTTCAGAATTGTTTGGACTTCAGAAAAGTAGAAAGATGTGTATCCCATACAGCATGTAACAAAAACCCAGAATTTAGATTCTTGGCAACACACCATAACAAAACATTTAATATTTTCTCAGCAAAATGAAAGAATATCCACACCACACAAGAGAAATGAAACCTACTAATCGCCTATGTTAGCTCAGGTCCAGCTACATGTCTGCCTCCAATGTAGGTTTAAAAATAATTTTGTTTTCAGAGTGCTGCATTTTGGAATTGTGGATAAGGGGCTATGGATATACTAGTGGCCTGGTGCACGAAATTTGTGCGGGGGAGGGGGGACGTCCCTCAGCCCAGCCTGCACCCTCTCCAATCGGAGACCCCTTAGGGATGTCCGATTGCAGGTTTAGGCCCAATCCCACAGGGAGTCGGACATCCCTCTTACAATCTGGGACCGCTGGCTCCTAACTGCTCGCCTGCCTGCCTGCCTGATTGTCCCTAACTGCCCTCCCCTGCCAGCCTGGTCACCCCCAACTGCCCTCCCCTGCCGACCTGGTTGCCCCCAACTGCCCTCCGCTGCTGGCCTGATTGCCCCTACCCCCCTGCCGGCCTGATCTCTCCCCCAACTGCCCTCCCCTGCCGACCTGGTTGCCCCCAACTGCCCTCCGCTGCTGGCCTGATTGCCCCTACCCCCCTGCCGGCCTGATCTCTCCCCCAACTGCCCTCCCCTGCCGACCTGGTTGCCCCCAACTGCCCTCCGCTGCTGGCCTGATTGCCCCTACCCCCCTGCCGGCCTGATCTCGCCCCCAACTGTCCTCCCCTGATGGCCTGATCACCCCTAACTGCCTCTGCCTCGGCCCCCACCACCATGGCTTTGTCCAGAAGGAAGTTGGATGTCCAGAAGATGGCCGGTCAACCCGATCTAATTAGCATATTATCCTTTTATTAGTATAGATAGATTATATAGGATAGCATTGCTTAAATGGGGGAGAAAAGCCTTTTTGAACAGGAGGAGATGCTCTTGGCAGACAAAAAACACATAATCCCTATATCTGGACTGATAGCCAGCCATATGCACTATACTGCCAAACTGGTCATTAAAAAATTGAACCGCTTTCTTACACCTTACAACAAACAGCTGCTGCCCTTAAAACCCCTCCTCAGCCCCCACCTTAGGTTCTGCCTTCGCAGTTCACCCAGATTAGGTTCTGATTGGTTGGTTTCTATGCCAGTCAGCGTCAAAAGCTCCACCTCCTAGGCAGCCGTCTTGTGAGGGTGTGAAGGTTAATTTGCATAGTACCTCTTTATTATATAGGATTGGTCAGTTTAAAGTTTCAACCAGGTGTAATCACTGCTGGTCCCTGACTGTGCCTCTGTTGAGCTACATCTGGGAGCTGTGCTGAATGGAACCTACTAACCTCTTGCTGATACCAGTTAAAGTCCTATGAATTCAGTCATAATGGAGCCACAGAAAAGCCCAGCAGAGTCAGATATCTTGTATCTCTAGCTCCGCTGCACACTTGCTCTGCGACCCGGGGTCCTGTTGTTTAGATGAATGAAGTAGCATATGCCAAGCACCCTGTATGCACCAAAGACGTATTTGATTTATTATTCTCATTCCCCATCCCTTCAGTGACTGAGACAGTTGGTTTTCCACTGTCTCTGCTCAAGTGTGACTGTTCTCTGCATCCCACCCAGCAGGACTCTGAAATCACTTGGCTCATGCAGGGGACCACCCCTGGGTGGAAATGGTATGCTAGGTTCACCCCAAAGAAGCAATGGGAGATTATGATGGAGCCAGCTCCTGGATCCATCCTACCATTTGCCAGGGGTCAAAATAATCATGGTAGACAGAATAATGCCCCCCACCCAGGATGTCCATGTCCTAATCCCTGGCACCTGTGAATATGTTGCTTTACATGTAAAAGAGGTTTTGCAGATGGATGAAGTTAAGTGTCTTGAGATGGTGAGATTATTCTGTATAATCCTGAGGGCCCAATGTAAACATAAGGGTTCTTGTGAGAGGCAGCCAGGAGGGTCAGAGGTTGGAGTGATGCACTTAGAAGATCAGGGAAGAGACAATGGGCCAAGGAATGCCAGCAGCCTCCAGAAGCAGAAGCATGCAAGAGCGATCCTCTTCCAGAGCTCGCAAAGGAGCCCACCCTCCCACCTTGATGGGAAGCCTAGGGAAACTGATTGCAAACCTAGACGTACGGTGATAAATCTGTTGCTTTAAGCCACTAATTTTGTGGTGATTTTGTTATAGCAGCAGGAGGAAAATAATACCATCCACAAGGGCAATCCTTAAAAGAAAAAGGAAAGAACACGTTGCCTGGGTACAATAGGAGGGGCAATGTTCACAGCAGCATTCTTCCTAAGAGCCAAAAGGCAGAAACAACCCCAATGCTCATCAAGAGAGACATGGATACACAATGTGGTGTATCTATAGAATAGAAGGTGACTTGGACACAAAAAGGAATAAAATCCCGATATGCATTACAACATAGATGAACCTTGGAAACACACTAAGTGACATAAGCCAGACATGATTCCTCTTTTACCGGGTATTTAGAATAGGCACATTCAGAGACAGGAAGTAGAATAGAGGTTACCGTGGCAGCAGCAGGGAGTTATTGTTTAATGGGAACTGAGTTACTGTTTGGGATGATGAAAAGTTCTGGAAATGGATGCACTACATTGTGAATTACTTAATCCATTGAATCGTACACTTAAAAATGGTTAAAATTGTAAATTTTCAGTTATGTATACTTCATCACAATCAAAACAATAAGTAAAGGGCGAGGAGTCTGTAGACTTTCTTTGGTAGCACATGGAGCGGTGCCATGGAGAGAGCTGCTTGCATGAATCCGTGTAGGTATGTATGTGCATGTGCCCCTTTTCCCTCTAAAATCTCTGAGTTGCTTTCTAACTGTCTGATCCCTGCAAAGCAACAACCCCACAGGGACTGGCAAAGTAGAGCCATCAGAATAACGTGACTCTGAATGCTGAGATCGTCACCAGAGGAAATTAGCTCTTCCCCGTGGAAATGGAGGGTATCAGCTCGGTTTGGCCTTTGCCAAATATTACTCTTTTTCAGCCGAAGTTAAAATTTTTGCACAATTACCTGCATTAGTTTACTTTGTTTTCCTTTGAATCACTCATTTCTGTGGGCAGATGCTATGTCTCCCATCTAGAAGTCTGAGCACTTCTGCCCGCTGCATCTTGGTGAGGCGGGAGAGTAAGAAGCCAGGAAGATTCCTTGGCCAGTGGAATAGGGAAACTGAGACAAAATAATTAAACAAGGACAAATGACTTGAGCAATTTGCAGCCAGGTAATGAATCACAAGGTTTTATCTTCCCTAACCAAGGGCACTTAGGAGCAGATGGTCGACACATTCCAGACCAGCCCGGCGCAGACTGGCCTCGACTGGTCCCTCTTGGAGGGTGTTCTTTGAAAAGAAAACTAACCAGAAAATAACCGCCGACCCCATCACACGCACATTCTGGTGAATCAGCGTATCGAAGAACACACCTGAAAAGCGAATGAGTATTCTGTTCAGACCCTCCCTCAGTCCTCCCCTAGGATTCCCAGCAGCTAAAGAAGAATAAAAAGCCTCAAGACACAGGACCAGCACTTGTGCTCTCATGAGAGCATGCCCATGCCCTGTGCCTCTGCTCTTTTTCTCCTAAGCTCTAAAGGTCCCACAAGACTCGCAACCAGGGGAGCAACGGGCAGCCACAGCTCATCCCAGGCTGACCCCCTGAACCTGTCACCAAGGCCTCATTCTCTCTGACTTTCCAGTGAGCTAACAGCAGCCCTGCCCATGCTCACTTCTGTCACTGTGACCCTCACTTCCCAGTGACTTCACACAGCCCAGTGTTGCCCACTTCTTTCCTATAACGTGTCTCCTGCTGCCGCTTCTACCCTAGGCCTTTCCTGTGTTTCACTGTCCCAGCTGTCATAAACGTCCTCTCAAACCCACCTGGACTCACCTGTGAAATCTTTCCTGCATGAAGTCAATAACCCACACACCACAGGCCGGCCTGAGGCAGCCCCGCTCCGGGCCCAGACCCCCTGCAGTAACATTGGTATAGAGTCAGCAAGGAAGACACAAGACAGGTAAGCACTGGATGGAACAATGAGAAGAGGCAGAGCAAGAACAGTTACAGTCACCGGCATTGTTTCCCCAGGGCCAGCAAGACCCTCCAGGCAACCAACACAGGGCCCCTGGCCTGCATGCGAACCATCTTCTGTCACAGGACAAAGGAGCCCAGCCCTCCTGGCAGGAGACAGGCAGCATGGATGCACACTTAGGCAGCACAAGGACCCACACTGAGTCCACAGCAGGTAAGGATATTCCCACCCAGGCTGTAAATCCAGCACGGGCAGAGAGGACTCTAGACTTCTTGATTAGGGCAACTTCCAGGCCCACAGCCCTTTCTGCTGGGTGAGTGGGCGCAGAGACTGCCCCCATGGGACTGCCTTCCTCAGCAATTGTATTAAAGTGGAGCTTTAAAAGGTAACCTTTCTAGCATTATCTACATATATAAAAGCCTAAGCGACCGGCCGACTGGCCGACTGTTCAACCAGCTGACTGGTAGCTATGATGCACACTGACCATCAAGGGGCAGATGCTCAACACAGGAGTTGCCGAGCTGTGGTGATGTGGCAGCTGTGGTTCTCAGGTGAGTCACCTGGAACCAGAGAGGAGGGAGCCCGATTCTGGGGTGTGTCACCTGAGAACCACCCTCTTGCAATCCAGGACCCCTCAGGGGATGTCAGAGATCTGGTTTCGGCCCAATCCCCACAGGCCAGGTCAAGGGACCACACCGGAGCACCGGGCCTCTAGTCCTATATAATAAAAGCCCAGTGACCAAACAGCAGAACGACCAGAATGACCACAGCCCCTCGCACTGGCTGGAGCCCACCAGTGCACGAATTCGTGCACCAGGCCTCTAGTTGTAATATAAAACTGGTATCAACTGCCATAAATAGAAGGGATCTTAAAAATAAATATGATAAAAAATAACTATGGCACTACATTCTTCTTTTTAATTTATTTTTTATTTCAAGAAAAACAATTTTAAATATAATAATGTTACATGCAATAAATATTAATATTTTAAGAAAAACTATCTTAAATATACTACTACATGCAATGAACATTAATATCTCAAGAAAAACTATTTTAAATATGTTACATGCATTAAACACCAATTATTCAAGAAAGATGATCTTAAATATAATATTGTATGCAATAAATATTGATATTTCAAGAAAAACGGATTTTAAGTATAATAATAGTACCAAGTGGCACTACATTCTTATCATTGCCTGTCACAAGGTGAAGGCTTAGGTTTCCTCTCAAATAACAAGTTGAGTCATTGTAGCACTAAACGAAGATGTTCTTTTTGACCCGAGAAGATTTGGGTGAGATACCTGACAGGACCATCATTTTCATGTTGAGACTCAAGTTTATTGAGCCGTGCCCGCCGCATTGCTTCACTCCCAGTGGGGACTGTGTGCTGCTTGCTGGGAAGCATGGGTGCTGCTCAGCCCTCTCACCTTAACCCCTAGAGTCCCGGGGAGAGCAATCGCGTTTCTCCTGTCTTTTGTCAAAAGTGCCGGGAGCGCTATCAAAGCTTCGAAATGGCGTCCAGTTCTAAGTCTGCTTTTATTAGTGATGATGATATTGCTAAATATGTCAATGTAGTAAAGGTTTCCTTAAGTTTTTGAATATGTAACTTCATTTACTTGCGATTCATAATTTTTTTTCCTAAACTGCTGTAAAATCAGCAAAAATGCCTTGGCAATTTTAGCATAGTTCCTAGGATATTGGTTGGCACTCAAAGGGTTAACAGGGGCAACAGGCAAGGGACAAGGCAAGCACTTTCTCCAGCTGTCCAGCTGATGGCGTCTGCCTCGCATTGGCCATTGGCGTACCGGAGCCTCCCAAGGGCCCTTCCTCCCACCCCAGCAGTCCCATCTTCAGCACTGGCTCAGACACAGGACACTTCTGGCTGGAGCTCCAACTACGTGAGGGACATGGTCAGACCAACCTGAATTCCCAGCATCAGCAGCCAGTCTCTCTCTAGTTGATGGTCACAGCCTTCATCGTCCATGTTCTAGCTTTAACTAGAAGTGAATGCAGAATCTCCTTTTCTTTCCAATAATAGGGCTTTTTATTGGGTTTCCCATTCAGTAATAATTTTTCTGTTTTAATCCTCTGTTAGAGGGGAAAAATCAAAATAACCACTGAGTTTCTATGCAGAAACATACCTGATAAAATTTTAATCTATGGTATAGAAGGTATTACTTTCTGATAAATATAAACATGTATTATACCTAACTACATTGTGTTTTTACTTTATTTAGTTTATTTTTTATCCTTTTCTTAAAAATGGGCATCTATTAAAAAGTCTGTTTTAAGATTATAGCAAGTAAATCTCTTACAAGTGGAATCTTTCTAAAATAGCAATGAGTGGAAAAGCATGGTAGGCAGATAAACAAAAGCCATCTTTCTCCTAAGCAGAGAAACTTGTCTTTCTTTCCATTCAGCTGCTTACTTCTGTGTAGTAACAGACTGAAGAAGATCATGTTGCAAAATTTGGCATCTACAGAGTTTATATTTTTCAGAATATTTAATGAAAGGCCACCAAATGTTAAAATAATTATCCGTTTCCTGTATGAGTGCGAGTTTTTCCCTTGCTAAAATTTTAATTAAAAATTAATTAAATGGGTTCTCCTCATTAACAAGCCACTGTAGACATTGCCCTCCGGAACAATCGCCTTAGTCACCCTCAGCAGGTCCGGGTGGCCGCCGGAAGACCTTTCTCCCCGTTGCTTCCATTAACACGCACGCCCATGCTTTCGCTTCCTCACCCATACATTCAACCCGTTTGATTCTTTTACACTGGAATCATGAGGAGAGGAAGAGCCCCAAGAGCAAAAGGAAGTATGAACGAAACTAACAATTTTTAAAATGTCACTAATTTGCTCACCAGCCACTCAATATGCTTCTATCCTAGACGAACATTAGATGAGAAACATGAATCTGTTGTTCCATTTGTGGGTGTTTTTTTTTTAAATAGGATATTCACTTCCCCACAATGAGTGTGACTTTGTGTTTTATTACTTATACTACTGGCCCGGTGCATGAAATTTGTGCACATTAAACGGGAATTAATTAGAGGAAATATTTTAATATTGCAGGTATCCGGCTCCCTCCTCCCTCCTGTCATAGTCTGGGCCGGTGCCCGCGGGGACACAGCATCAAGTCCCACCAGCGTCACAAGACCCAGAGTCAAGTTCCTGCCCACCTGCACGCGCCTCACCTCACATGCAGCCCCACCCACCTGCATGCACCTCGAAATCGCATAAGACCCAGACCCGCCGACACCCATGGGAACGCAGTGTCAAGCCCCCGCCAGCGCCCACGGGGTCTCAGCGGCAAGTTCCCGCCCACTCACATGTGCCTTGCCACGCACGCAGCCTCCTGGTGACCAGTCATTATGGTGTGAGGGCATCATGACCATGGGCTTTTTATAATATAGGATTTTTCACAATATGTCACATACACTGACTTCAGGTTCTATTTCTTATGTAAAGTGAAGCTCTGTGTGAAGTCAGAGCCTGTGCAGATCGATAGGGACATATTTGTGGGTTAGAAGCTCTCCTTCGTTCCCACCGCATAATCCTGAGTGTTTTCTTCCATCTCAGTTCTCTGCACAGCTCTGCAGGGCATGTCCATGGGCCAGACGCTCTCCAGTTCTCTGTCCCAGCCCGACCTGCCCCCAGTGGCAGCTGGCCGCTCTCCTGTTGGCAGGGCTTTCAGGAGTCCCCGTGGGAGCGCCTGGTCTTCTCATGAAGCAGATATTACAGTGCGCACCTATTGAACACAAAGGTAAGGTTAGGCCGTCCTCCAGCACCGTGACCAGCACCACCAAGTCCCCGGCTCTTTCAGGCCCCTGGGGAGGTTGTGGGGGAGAGCAGGGGCTCGGACACCTTCGCAGGCCCCAGGGCTCCGGAGTGGGCGTGGCAATGGCCACTCCAGCCCCTGGCAGGTCAAACCTCCCTGCCCACTGGCCCACCAATGGGTTTACCTGATATAATGTGGGGAAATCAGTTGGCAGGTTAGGAACATTCGTGTGTCCAGTCCACGCTGAGTGTTTTAAACAAAAACCAGCTTTTTAATCATTGTGATGTTATGGCTTTGTTGTTTTTGTTTGCTTCTGTAAAGCATTGTAGAATGTATTTAAAGTTGTGGAGTGTTTTTTTTAAGTCTGGGTTCAGCTAAAATAAAAGAAAAAATAATGTGAATTTAATAGCATTGAGATTCTTAAAAGTATAGTTAATGTAAGTGCTTCTCATCTGTGAAGGAGAAGAATGTGTTTAAACTTGTGGACAATACATATGTAAAATATAATTAATATTAAGTAGAAAATTTAAAAAATAACTAGAAATCCATTTTTTAAATTATGACATTTAACAGTCATTGTCTTATTGCTGCAACTTCTCTAATTGCTTAGTCTCAATTTATATATTTATTTTCTTGTGGGCTTGTCATGGGTTACACTTTGAGTAGCACTGTAATTGAAAGTTTTTATTGTATTTTAAAAACCTGTCATTATTTAGTCACCATAGGCATAGTTTCCTTTTATATCACTTAAAATGCTTTATTAGAAAAATTATGTAATCTCATTTCATGCCCTGATGTTAATGGGTATGAGTGTGTGTGTGTGTGTGTGTGTGTGTGTGTGTGTGATGCTATCAAAATGTTATTAGGTCCTTGATTTCTTTAAAGTATAGGAATATATGAGCCCAATGTTCCCAATGTGCTTTTGGCATTATTTATGAAAAACAGTCTTTAATTACCAAGCTTAACACATTATCCTTGGTGGAGACTCAAATCTCTTTTCCAACTTTAAACTGAGCAAAAGCTTTCATCTGGCAAGGTACTGAAGCCCACTATGAACATTTTGTGCATAGAATTATCACCAAGAGCTATTTGGCAGCTTCTCCATCTCAGTGAAAAGGACTCTGTATTTTTACTTCACACAAATAACTCTCACCACCATATAAATTATTTTCTCAATTATCTTTCAACCTTTTAGCAATAAGGTTTCCTGAATAAGAACTGGAAATATCTACATCACATTTCATGTCACATTTCTTGATCCAAATTATTTTAATTAGTTACTCAGCCCAAATCTATTTCAAGCACAACAATTTCCTGTCTATCTGGAAGAGTGGTGGGAAATTGTTACCTCATCGAACCCAATCATGGACCATAACCCATATTAATCTGGGAGACAGCCAATGCTTTTCTCTGGAGTGGTGTTACTTCTCATTTAACCTGCGAGATATTTTGTGTTGGAAGAAGTTCTGTAATTGTGAGAGAGATTTCCAACACACATATTCCAGTGGATCCCAAGTCAAGTGTAAGGCACCGGGCATCTCTTACATTTTTAAAGCACAGATGTTTATGCTCTTGGTAGGGAGCCAAGGGAAGTGCTGGATCAGCACGCTCAGTTCCAAAGGAGCCTCTATCTGTCCTCGGAATTTCAGAGAACAACGGGCTGCCACCAGTTTACAGTGTGGCTCAGATTGTTATTTTCAAATCAATTGCACTCTTCAATCAGTTGCTCTTCTCACTTTCTTGGTGGCAGGCGTTCTCTCCGATGCATCTGAAAACAACGTCCAGCTCCGGTGAGCACCTGGCCCCGCAGGTACCACTCAGACCACCGGTGGCAGGAGACAGGCTGTTGCCTCTGGCCTGGGGAGTTGGTGCAGAAGCTCCTGTGGACAAGTCCGGCCGCTGGCCTTTCCTGGGGAGAGATGCTCTTCCTTTGTGGTCTCAGAAATAGCTGCGCGGGGCTATTTCTAATGCGCTGCGTGTGCGCTTGAATGAAAGGCTTGAAACACCATTATCTAAAAATCTAATGAAACATTTGGCTCTATCTGAAAGAAGCACATGTTAATTGCTTATCAAACTATCAATTTTCATTTCACAAAATGACTGATACCTCTGTAAGTCTGTGAGGAGAAAGCATTACACTTTATTTCAAGTGCAAATTTTTTACCACCAGTAAATAGGCAGGGTAGATATAAACAGAACCCACTGTCATTAACTCAGAGCTAATTTTCTCAGGTAAAGTGTCATATTGTTTATATGCAAAACACTTCCATTTTGGCAATAAATGACCTCCTTCGTTTGCAAAATCAGCTCTTTGTTTTTGTGAAAAACAAAGACTTATTGATGGTCTGTTTTAAAAAACAAAATTCTGCTAACTGTGATTTCACAATAGCTAGTACTACTGATGTGTCTGAAGTGACCCCCTTTTAAAATGTGCCTTGGATTAACCCAGCCAACTTCAAATTTCTAGGAGTCCATGATCCGTTCTCCCCAGAGGTAACATTGGGAAGGGGTTGAAAGTTCAAGAAAAACACACTAACTATTTTTAGTGTGTTTAGCAGAAACTCAAGGGGAGAGAGATCGAGATCGAGGAGCCTGAGGTGAAACCAGAGGAAAGCGCTGCAATTGCTACGCTCTGCCCTCCCCCTCGACCCCCTCCCTCCCAGTGAAGCCCACAGGGACATCTGTGTCCAGGGGAGGTCCAGGGGGAGTGGCTAGCTCCATCTTCAACTCTGAGGAAGTCAGAGCTGAGAGGCAGCCAAGCAAACATCCTGGCCACAGCAAGGCAGGTAGCCACAGGTTTACCTGCTGAAACAATTCCATCCTCTGACAGTTTTCTCCCAGTTTAAAAGCAGCAATAAAAATGCAACAGAGATTTCTGCCTGGAGGCGGTGCCTTCCTGTGCTGCTTTGTTGTGCTGGGTTTTCTGGCTGTTTCCACGGCTCTACTTGGACAGCGGGCTGCTTTCCACCCTGTCCTCCTGCTCCGTCCTCGGCAGGAGCCCCTGCGGCCGGTCTACACATCCTCATTCGCAGGCCTTGCTCCCCTCTGCAGAGCGGCACCTGCAGGAGCCACCACCACAGCCCGGCATCCCAGAGGCCCTGCTGCTCCTTCCCTTCTCCCCATCTGCTCCCCGGCAGGACCAGCTCCTTGCCACCTCACCGTTCCTTCAGGTGGCCTGGGGGTGAGGGTGAGCAGGCTGTCACTCACACCCAGCCAGCCTGAAATGGAAGTGTGATAAATGGAACCGTACGAGGCTCAATTTCGTCTGGAAATTTCAAACTTATGATGTTCAAATAGGTTCATCAATTCCCGCACCACGCCTCTCTGCTCTCCTAATACCCAACCGCAGGTTCCAACTGAGCAGGCCCCTCTACCTGCTTCCACAGCCCAAGACATCAGGCGTTGGCATGCGTCTCGGGCCTTTGCTTTGGCATGTTTTCAATCTCATGCCCAGTTTGGGACGCAGCCACTGCATACATATTTGCTCATTCCTTTCCCGAGGAAGAATGTCAACCATGGACAACACGGCTCGTCTTCAAAGGCATTGCGCCCAGGGCTGCCTTTGTTCCTCGGTTTCTAACAGCTGAAACGGGCTTTGTTGCTGGCACATATGTCTCTACATGTCCTGTCCTGAGGAAATTGTCAAGTGGAGAATCTTCTAAATGTGCGCCTGCTCTCTCACTCGACTCCTCCCTCGCTCCTGCCCTTGGTCTTCAGGAAGCAGGCCTCAGAGTAACAGGAGACGTGTGTTCCAGAGCTCAGCTGAACGTTATCAGAGGCGCCTTCTTCAGGCAGCAAAGGCCAGTGACCTGGGTTGTTTTTGCAAAATTTGAGATGTGGTACAGTTAAATGTAAAAGGTTAAAGAGAAATTTAAATAAATACTTTTCTTTAATGTTTTTCATTAATATATAATTACATAAGCAATACAAGAAATTAATTTTGTACATCCCTAATGATTTTTTCCAATTCAGGTCCTTTTCCACGTATAGTTACTATTTTTTCATGCTGAATCTAGTTACTACATTTAGATCATATAAGTCTGCAGAAACATGTACGTTTTGTGTTTTTAAAACAAATAGAATCATTTTGTATGCTCTGCTTTACCACTTACTTTTTCCACTCAAAATACATCTTGGAGATCTTTCCATATCATAAGATATAGTTATAATTCTCTTTTAAACTACTCCATATTTTCAAGTTTTAAAAGTAGTTCCCTAGTAAAGAACATTTAAATAATCCATAATTTTTATGTTTTTTTTCTTTTTTGCTATTAAAATAATATTTCAATGAATATTTCTGAATATGTACCATAATGCACATCAGTGATTTCTTTTTCCTCCAGGGTAGATACCAAAAGATGGAATTATTGGGCCAAAGGGAGTGCCCATTTTTAATTTTCATAAATATTGGCAGCTAGCCCTCTTCTTGTCTTGTGGATCAGGTTTTGATCATCATCTCTAGTCCCTCCAAATCAAAAGTGCTAGCAGCCTTAAAACAGAAACAAATACAAGAGAGTTTTATAGCTATAACACTTTCTTCCGACTGTATGCAAGAATACACTGCACATACATTTCTGCCTATCCTACACTATGTCCCAGTGCTCACAGCACTAATGGAACATGTTTTCTTAATGGGAATACTATATTTAGAATAAAAGAGAAACAAATACAAAAGAAAGGACTGAGAATATATTCCTCTCCTAAGTTGTGGACGCAAGAGAAATCTCCAAGTGCACAGAAATAGCTTTCATATGAGAAAGCCTTTGTTTCAGAACTGCCCTCGCTAACTTGGAAAGGAAAGCTGACTGTCAGTACGCCCTATTAACCACATTAGCTTACAGGACAGCCCTGCTGCGGTGCGTGCCCACCCAGATGTTGTGAAAGTGAGCTGATTTAAAAATCTCAAGAAAACAACTTACAGTGAAAAATTCAGCCGAGTTAAATGTGTATAAATTTCAAAACTTAATTTTTCCTAATTATTGACCACATTCAACATTTTGCTTTGTGTGCCACCAGTCTTAGAGTTGTTAATCCAGTCCTTCAATAGGCCAGTTCATGGGTGTTTTTTAAAGTACATTCTTTATACAGTAGTTGCACAACTGTTACCATTTCCTAAGCACGCCCATGGGTTTGGGTGATGCTTTGCTCTGCACCCACAGACTGCCCACAGGCATAGAACACCCACGTCTCCAGAAGTCCTGTCATACCCCAAACGGGCCAGCTTAATTCCCAAACCCCATTTGTCTAGGATAATCTATTTTTCACATTCCATTTTAACATCTTCTGGAAGCGCTTTTGCAAGCAGTACACTTTGAGAAACCTATGTAAGTACATCCTGCCAGGAGAGTGAAAAATATGAAACCAATGAGCCTGGGAGGGCAAGAAAGCAAGCTCCATTAAACTAAGCAGGAGAGATTCTAGATCCTGTACAAGGAAGCTGATGACAAAGGCACAACACAGATGCCAGAAAGCCCCAGAGAGGTGATACAGTTCATTCAACAAATATTTGCTGAGTGCCTATTTATCCCAGGCCTGTTCTAGGTGCTGGGATAAAGCAGTTATTAAAACAAAAACATCCCCAAACCTGTTAAAACATTTCAAAATGTATTTACTAAGAAGATCAAGTTCTCAAAGTCAATAAATGGACACATTAAATTAAACATTTCTATATAGCAAAGGAGACCATAAAAAAATGTTTTTTAAGACATACTCTGGGAGAATATAAACAACTTCTACATATCAATAAGAAAGTAACAAGTAGCCCAATAGAAAAACAGTCAAGAGGTATTCATGGAGAAAGAAACCAAAATAGACAATAAATATGTATGATTCTTAACCTCATAAATTATAAATTAAATGCAAAATCACAAATAGATATTATTTCACAGCTAAAATGACAAAAATGAGAGGGTAGCAATACCACATGTTAGCAAGAATCTCAGGGAGTTCAGAAGCATCGCTGTTGGGGTGAGTTTCATATCGCCACTTTGGAGGTCATTTGGGCCAGGACTCCCCAAAAATCAAAATGTGAGCCACAAATGCAGGTCACACTTTCCCGCCACATGGAAGAAGAGAAAAAGAAATGGATACGGTTAATTTTATTACATTTTATTTAATCCAGTATATTGAAAATATCATCCCAACATGTAATTGAGCTAAAGATTTATTGAGACAGTTTACATTCTTTATTTCATACTGTGTCTGAAACATGACGTGTACTTTACACTCACAGGACATCTCAGCTCAAACCGCGGCCTTTGCAGGGCTGACGTTTGCACGTGGCCAGCAGTGTGGGCCAGCGTCTCCCAAAGGTGATACTGGACCAAGAAAAGTGCTATAGATTGGCATTCAAAGTTTGAAGAATATTCACTGTAACCTTGTTACAAAAGCTTTTAATAAAAACAATATGAATGTCTATCAACTATAGAATGGGTTTATGAATCTTGGTATAGTCATATCATCCTACATAATAAAGAGCTAATATGCAAATGGTTGTCAGCCCTCATGCCCTAGCAACAGGCTGGGGGACCTGAGGCTGCGCCCTGCGGGGCTTGATGGGGGTGGGGCCAGCTGGGACGGAGTCTCATGCGATTTCGAGGTGCATGCGGGTGGGCGGGGACTTGACTCTGGGTCCCTTGGTGCACCCCAGATTCTGACAGGAGGGAGATTTTCATATACATGTTACTAATTTTCTTTCATCTCTTGATACTTTTATTATAGAGAAAGGGCAAATAGCAATATTAAAATATTTCCTCTAATTAATTCCCTTTTAATGTGCATGAATTTCATGCACCAGGCCACTAGTAAAATACAATAGAGCATGAAAATAAATGAGCTATGGCCATACTTAACATTAAAGTGTATTGTGTGATAAAAACAAATTGCGGAAGAATACATAAAGTTAGATAATCACTGATGCAAAGTTCAAAAACCTCTAAAATGGTATTGTTTATCCCTTACCTATTCAAACATATATACAACAATAAACACCAATTTGGAGTGAGAGTGTTTATCAAGGAGGGAGGAAGAAGTGATCTAGGGAACAGACACTGAGGATTTCAACTGATTGATGACATCTCATTGCCTGACCCAGGTGGCACATGTTCTTGTATTTGTCCTGTTACTTTACATACTTATTGTATATTTAAAATATAGTTGAACATTGAACAACACAGGTGTTAGGGGTGCCAACCCCCATGCACAGTCAAAAATCCTCATATAACTTTGACTACCCCAAAACTTAACTATGAATAGTTGTTTTAACTGTTGACTGGAAGACTTACTGATAACATAAACAGTCTATGTATTATATACTGTATTCTTACAATAAAGTAAGCTATTGTCCCAAGTAGATCCTGGGAAAGGATCTGGGGTGTTTATCTAAGGCATCCCTTGAGATAAACTTTAACTGTGCTGGTGTGGGACATTCAAGTAGTTGCTAGCGAAGAGGCTACTCTACACAAGCAGGACCAAGGGGCAGGCTTAGGACCAAAAAAGACCAGAAGCTTTGATTTAACTTTTAAGCGTACGCAAAATAATTCAATTAACTACCAGAGGGATTACACCACATGAAACATATGCAGTTGCAAATCACACAGCACTTTATTACTCACACAATTCCTGCTGCTGAGGGTACAGGCTTAAATGGGATCCCGGTGGTGCTGTCCTCTGGGGTCTGGCAGCTAAGGCTGGTCTGGTCCGGATGCAGGGGGCCAGCATTCCTCACCCCAGAGCTCGACCGTCTCGATCGGGAGGTACTGGCCATTCTTCTATCATCTAGCAGAGAGAGGAGTGTGGAGCGGTGTCGCTTGCCAGACTGACAAGAGGACGTGCCTTTGTGGCTGTCTCGACAGGTGAGCACTGGGCTGCTTTGAATCCCACTTTTAAAGCCTGTACCCCGTTTGCAGCCGCCCAGGTGGCTATCAGTGAATTACGTCAATGCACACGTTTATCTCAAACAGGGCGAGGCACTACATGTGGTTATCGAGGGAGAGTACATCACTCACTCAAGTGGTTATTTTGATAAGTTACTCTGAGTTATTTACTGAAGTTCAAATCCTTATCTATGAGGTACACACGCTTCAGGGCAGTGGGGAATGTGTTCTTAATGTCATGCTTTAAGTTTCAAGGAAAGTTAATTTAAACATTTTAAAACCTTAATATTTTTTAGGCATTTTTAAACATTTCTATATATTACTACAACAGCTAGGCAAAGGAAAGTGCTAGTAAGAAAATCATAAGGAAGGGAACATACTATATTTATTGAAAAACTCCACCTGTAAGTGGACCTGCACAGTTCAAGCCTGTGTTGTTCAAGGTCAAAGAGCATTTACTGAAAGTCAGGAGTGCACAGTGCATTCCAAAGTGTCCAACTTTCTAGTCGATACAAATAAGTCTTGTCGCATGGATGTGAAGCGGGGGCTTTCTTCCCAGTTTTCTTTGCATAGTGAATAGACATCTAAATTACTTCTGGAAGGAACATTCAATCTGTCCCCATCTCCTGCGACCCTTCTGCAGTCAAGTTTGGTCCCTGCATGTCTAAAGGGAGGTGCATTCCAGGAGAAGCAGCGCGTAGCGCAGAGCTGGATGTGCGGAGGACAGAAAGCTCTCAAACCGGCATCTGCCCTGAGTGGAGAGGTCAGCGGCCGTGGTACTCAGGTGAGCCTCTCACGACTTCTTGCCTCAGTGGAGTCTTAGCAAACGGTTTTCGGACTTGGGTTCTGTTAGGATTTCTAGCTTGGACAGCGTGGCAAACACACAGAGCTCACAGGCCTCATCACAGCTACCAGGGTGAAATTCAGCAGAAAGCAGAGTTAAGGAGATGTTTTCTCTACAGTCAGCTTTTTGAGAAACAAATACCAAAGTAAAATAAAATAATAAAAGCATGCCAACTGGCAGATCAGGCCCTGCTCTGGGAAACTTGCACAAGTTCAAAGAAATTCCCAGCAAAAGTCATCAAACAGAAACCATTTAAAATTATATAGGGTTCTCTATAGCAGTATAAGTTTTGTATAATATGAAGTATCATTGTCTTTGGTAATAAAGTATAACCTATTATACTATTATATAAACACTCTCACTAATATATAACCTATAACCTATTATGCCACAGCTGTACTATAGGATGCTGCACGAGGAACATGCTGCATGTATATTCTACAATAGTATTCTTAGGAAATTCACCTGATTACAGCAATCACCTGGGGCTATTGTGTCAACATGTTATGACCGTGGGACCCCAAGTGAGGTACCCAGGCCAGCAGCACCAACATCTTCTGGGAACTGTTCAGAATGCAAATTAGCACATTCCACTCCAGATCTGTTGAATCAGAAATACGAGGGCATGGGGCTCAGCAATTCGTGTTTGAACAAGCCCTCCAGGTTATTCTGAAGTCGCTGAAGTTTGAGAAGCAATGGCTTTGATCTGGTTATTCAATGTACTCTAGAAGGGCCACCAGCATCAGCATCCCCTGGGAGCTCATTAGGAATGCCCGATCTCCGGTCCTGCCGACACCTGCTGAAACAGGGGGAGCACTTGAACAGCATCCTCAGGGGTTCCTGTGACACTGAAGCTGGAGAACCACTGTTCTCTGAGCAGGAAGTTGGCCTCACCTTGCTGGGCCTGAAGCCGGGCTCCACTTCTCCTCAGACTGTGACTCGGGCACGGTGTTGGGTGCCTCCTTTCTGCCACAAGGCGCTGATGAGAACGCCCCCGGCCCCCTCAGAGGATCGTTCGGAGAAATGAGGCTGTGCACAGGGTGCTCAGCACATGACGGGTGCTCAGTCAGCAGTGGCCACGGCTATACCCCACCAGCGTTTCAGAAGAGCCCACTTGTCAAACAGTGAGAAAATATCTACAAAGGAAAATACGGTTTTCAAGATAGCTGATTACATCATGTAAACCACAAGTACATGAGCCTGAGTGCTAGCCCGTGGGATGGGAAGTCCTCAGAGTAAATGCTGTGAGGAGCCTAACACACAACCACCGGGCTAGCGCTGCACAGCATCCTGGAGGCCAGCGCTGCGCTCCCAGCAGGTCCCGGACCCACGGCCTCGGAGCCTGGCCCGGTGGGAGGGAGGTGGGCAGTGATCAAGTACATAGGTTAATTTTGGTCCCAAACTTACTTTTTAAAATAAGAAAATGAATTGGGTGAAGTTCCAGGTTTTCCTGTTTGTGACCCTGACCAGGCTGTGGAAATCATTCTTTCTCATTTGAGTGCTCGCTGTCCTCTTACGCCCCCAGCTCTTACGGCACAAAAACAATTAAGAGAATGTAAAGAAAATCTAGTATTGCATGAATATATGTCCTTGCCAACTCCAACGGTTAGAATAACTGGTTTTTATATATTTTTAAAATCTGACCTGATATTTCAGGGGCATGCATATTCCTCATCAGCTGTGAATGGCTCTGCTCCATTGCCAGTAGCTTCTGCTGTCTGCATTGTTTGTAGGAAACGAGATTAGAATTCATATTTAACAGGAACATAAACTCCAGCGAGGACACCAGGCTCCCGGCCCTGCTGCCAGGCACCATCCTGCAGGTCCCCCCAGGATCGGGTCTAGGAACGAGCTGCTGCAGAAAAGCCAACCGAGGGAGCACAGGCATCGTCTCTCTGGTGACACATTAAAAAGAAACGTTCCTCGTGGCGTGGCGAAGGGACTTCTAAAAGCCATGTACGTCGATTTTGAAAGGCATTTATCAGGCAACAACTACTAAAGTGAGTCATATTTCCTTACTGAAATGCTGTCAGAAACATAATCATTGAGGAAATGGTTTTATTATGAGGCGAGGTGGGCTGGCCTGCTGAGCTTTCTCCGCTTATCTCCTTGTGTCTGTGAAGTCCCAGCAAAGGCTTCGCAAACGCCCTGCTCATCCCGCTGCCTCTTCTCGCGAATCCCCCTTCCCATCAGCAGTCTCTGCAGCCTCCTCCTCCCTGAGTGGGGCAGCGATGCAGCTTCACGCCTTACAATGCAGGGCTGAGGCCTGAAACGCCCCTCCTTGGTCGGAGGAATCTCCCTCTCCTCATACACACACACACACACACACACACACACACACACATTTAAGTTCTAAGAAACTCCTCACTGCTTTTGCCGATGGACTTTTTACACGATTTGTCTCCTCAAATGAGAACTTCAAAATTAATCTTCTTGTACTTAAAGCATTTTCTCATAAGGCTGCTGGTTTGCCGTTCTCCTTAATTTTAGAGGGAAAACTTTGATATCCGAGTCCATGCACATGTCTACGCATACTATCAACACTTTAACAACTTTTAGATAGTGGTTATTTAAAATATAAAAAACCCACCTCAGACCTCGACCTCCCTTCCCACAGTTTTTCTACAAAGATATCAATCAGTAATGACTTTCCCCTAGTACAGTGGTCGGCAAACTGCGGCTCGCACGCCATATGCGGCTCTTTGGCCCCTTGAGTGTGGCTCTTCCACAAAATATCTCATGCAGGTGCGCACGTACAATGCGATTGAAACTTCGTGACCCATGTGCAGAAGTCGGTATTTTGTGGAAGAGCCACACTCAAGGGGCCAAAGAGCCGCATGTGGCTCGCAAGCCACAGTTTGTCGACCACTGCCCTAGTAAAACACATTTACTTTTTTTTAATGCAAATTTTCAGGGTTGAATACTTTTAAGACTAAAAATGATATTTGTGTTCATTAAATATTTTTTATGAATAATTTCCTATGTCTTTACTAGTTTGTGACTCGTATGGGATTTTGCCTACCACAGCAACGGGGAGAGGGGCTCCCTCCCTGTCTGCATTGCTCCATTACAGTTTGGATATATTCAGATTACTGGCTGTTTGAACACAACTCAGACCCAACTGCCACTGCTGTGCGGGCGCCTCGCCACACAAAAGGCCCTGCCCGTGAGCAGCTGTGCCTAGAAAGAAAGCGGGCTGTTGCCTTCCCCCACCACTGCTTTTCTTTATTTTATCGGCAAGCTGTGGTTGGCTGTTTTCCACCACCGGAACCATCCCTGGCCGCATGGGAGTTTTATTTCTTGGGGTCACTTCTAGATGAGATTGTATGTATGTCCGGATCTCAAACACAAACGCCAGCAGCTCCCCTCCCCCCGAGTGTGGGGGCACGGAGGGCAATGCCAACGACAAGCTCAGTGCTGGTGCTGGGAGAAGGTCCTTATGAGGAATGCGATCATTTGAACGAGTTGCTGGTCTGAGCTAACAAAGATAACCTTTCACTCTGGTTTGCAGGATACTGTGTCCTATTATTTTCTCATCTTCAATACAATCTTGTGTTTGACCCCCATGATATCAGCATTAAAGCGACCCCCATACATATGGCCACCAGAATGTAGCAAAGGGAATGGTGAAGTGATTTAAATTCTTTACCACTGAAAGCTTTCAGCTCATTGATGTTCAAAAATAAGTTGAAGAATCTAGCACAGACTGCTCAGAAACTAACAAATCGATGTGCCATTCACCAAGGAAACACACAAGGCCAATTTTCAGCTACACTTCCCCACCCCCACCCCAGTCTTCAAATATCCTCAGGGGGTTCCACTTTAAGAGAGAATTGGTCCAGGATCTTCTCTTTATGGTCTTCAGGCTGCCATTCAATTAATGAAAAAAAGAGGACAACAAAAGTTAATAACTACCAGTATTCCTGCTCATTGAAGCAACATACAAAGGTGTCTGGGATGCAGACCCACTGGGAGGAATTGAACCTGGTGGGCGGAGCCATATAAACAGACTCTGTGCTTCACAACTACCCCCTTTCCACAAGGCAGCACCATGGCACCTGCTCCCAAACTGTTCCCATCCTGTTCAAAAACTGACCTGCATATATATTGGGCTTAATGACCAAATGTTTAAACATTCATTGCACAAGAACAGCTGAAAGCAGTTGATTGGTTTGAACTTTATTGTATGCACCTTGCTTCCCAGACCGCAGTAAAGGGGAAGGTCAGCTGGTAAACATTTGGGCATTTAAAGTAAGAGGCCCTCGGT